TTCCAGTTTCTTGCCTACTATCCTGTCACTTGTGAGAATTTAATCTGGAAATTATACTCACTGATTAGATTATATTTTTAGATTATATTAGATGCTTCTTAAATTCATTTTATTTTTGCTTGTACTTTTTGGTTTATTTATTATTTTATGTGTATAATTTTTTTTTTCTGACTGTATGTTTGTATACCACATACAAGCCTGGTACCCTGGGAGTCCAGAAGAGGGCATCAGATCCCCTAGAACTGGAATTACAGATGCTTGCATTCTGCCATGTGAGTGCTGGGAATTGAACACAGGTACTCTCTGTAAGAGCAGCTAGTGCTCTTAACCGCTGAGTCATTCCTTTTCCCCCTCCCCTTCTTAAATTTTTATTGTAAATTTATTTTGATAAAGGAGCAAACACAAGCTCCTTCCCTCTCCATAGCCTCTATCGGTGCATTCAACTGCGTGAAGGTCCAAAATCTGTGGGAAAAAAACTGACTTCTGTATACATTTTCAGACTTCATTCTTATCAGTTTTCCAAGGAACAGCTGTTAGCATACAGATACATAGTATCATAAGTAATCTATGGATAGTTGTACTTTGGCCATGTGTATATGTTACATACTGTTATAAACAGGCTGAGCACCTGCAGATATTGGTGGTGAAGGGCAGTCCTGGATTCATCTTGAGCACATACTCAGATGGGCATCTGTACTCTCCATGTCTCTTACTTTCTTGCCTCCTCTTCCAACCCTGCCACCTTCACCACTGCAGCCTCTGCTTGACCTTCCAGATCACAGAGTTCTCCTTCAGCTCGGTCACTCTGCTCTGCACCTCACCTGCGTCCATAACAGTGGGCCTGGGTAGAGATGAGCCTCTGAGATGCTGAAAAGTTGGGGCCTAAGATGATGCATGGGGAAGTTCAAGTGCTGACTCAGTCTGTTCCCCTGGGATAAGGGTGACATTTGCTGACAGCAAGTTTTACCATGGGAGCCCAGACTCACTCATTTTGGTGACTAGTTTATTTGTGGAGATTTCCCTGCCCTGTCTGGAGACATAATGGCAGGACACATCAAGACATTTATACTCTTATGTCTAGCTAGACTCTGCCTTGAACAGACACTGTTTCTATGTGAACTCTGACAACTCACGGGCTATACCTATGGCATGTGTCACATCTGCCTGGCTTCCAATGAGCTCATATTCGAGGCTGAATAGCAACTTCTCTAGCAGTTTGGCTCATCTCTGACCTTCCTCAAATGTTGTAGCTATCTAGTTGGTTGCCAGTCTTTGTGTTCGAGTTTCCCCATAGATTTCTGTAACCCAGCATCAGTCCCTAGAGTTTGTATAAAGGAGTCAAGGAGACTATGGCAGACTCCCTGTGGGTGCACACAGAGCACACCTGCTGAGGAGGGGCATCTATCAAGTGTCTAGGTCTTGCCTCCCACCCTCCCTTTTCAAAGCAAATGGGACAGATCTCTTTGTTCCTGCTGCCTGGCACAGGCATATGAATTTGTTCACTGGGGTCTCTCTCTAAATCCTCCCACCATCAGCCCCCTGTGTACAGCCTGGGTGGCCTCAGAACACCTCTAGCCTTCTCTATCCCCATACTCCATGACTTCCAGTCCACTTCTTATATTAATATGACTATTTTTGATAATTTTAGTTTTTTATCAAATTTATTTATTCTGTGTATGTGTGTAAATATATGTACTATTGCATGAATTTGGAAGTCAGAGGACAACTTGCCTGAGTAGGCTCTCAGTTTCTACCCTGTGGGTCCTGAAGATTGAACTCAGGTTGTTAGTATAACATTAATTCTTTGGTTTGGTTTGGTTTGGTTTTGAGACAGGGTCTCTCTATGTAGCCCTGGCTGTCCTAGAATTCACACTGTAGGCCAAACTGTCCTCTAACTCACAGAGATCTGCCTTCCTCTTACCTTCCAAGTGCTGTGCTGGGATTAAAAGTGTGTACCATGGAATCCAGCCAAGATAACACAAATTGTTAAGGAAGTTAATGGCATTAATCTTGTCCGTTTGAAGTTTGCCACATTTATAAAACAATGTTTGTATTCTCTCATCTCCTAAAAATCTCTTAAAAAAAACAAACAAACCTAAGACTTCCTATCTTTGTTATTATCTGCCATGATAATATATACAGAGTTAAAGAAATACATGGTGGCTTTAGGAAGTTTCCAAGACAAGCTATCTGAAACTCCTTTTTCTAAATTGAACCTAAGACAATATCCCGATTCCTTGCTCATTTTTTTACTCCTTTAAAAAATTCTTAGCTAGAATAAGCACAGTTCTTCTGTCTTTGGCCTTTTCTGCCCTCGTTTGTTTGCAAGGGATGTTGTCTTTAATGTGCAGCCTCGGGGCCATTCATACTGGAGACAAGTCATAGAATGATCAAGAAGGGAGGCTATGAGTCAGAGTTGACAGGCATCGGGCCTTGAGAGAAGAGCCAGGCATTCTTTCAATATTTGTGGTTACTAAGGAATCTTGGAGTGTGCTTCAGTTAAATAATCAGAGGAAGAGGCAGACATACAGATAGACACAGACACACACACACACACAGATAGACAGACAGAAAGACACACAGAGACAGAGATAGAGACAGACAGATACAAATAAACACACACAGAGAGACAAACACACAGAAAGACACACAAAGACAGAGACAGACACCAGAGACAAGGAGACAGACAGACACATGAACATATAAAAGATAAAAACAGAGACAGGGAGACACATACAGAGAAAGAGAGAGAGAGAGAGAGAGAGAGAGAGAGAGAGAGAGAGACAGAGAGAGAGAGCATGTTGATGCCAGCCAGCCAGTTTGCTCTAAGGAAGTAGGTCTGTACTAGAAAACTGTTGTGACAAGCACAGGCTACATGGTCTATCTCAGGCAGCCACACTCCAGCAGTGTGGGGTGAACTCCCAAGGAGCTGTGGATGCAGGTTTCTGGGCTGCTCAGTTTGTGCCTGGGGATGCAGGTGTTAACTCTGTGGAGTGCTGTCTCAATGAGGATGGGTTGGGTCCCTCAGCTTAACCTCCCAGCCATGTTGTAATTACCCATCAGAGACATCTCAAACCCACCAGTGAAATCCATCAACCCCAATCTTGGCCTGGTTGACATCCTTGCTTTTGGTTTAGGAAGGTGGATGACCAATCCCACTTTAGTGAAACTTAGCCAAACTCTGTTTTTGTTGTTTGAATTTGAGGGTGTGGATCTCTGAAGATGTGGAGAGAATGAAGAGTAAATGACATCATGCCTTTTCCCTGACAACAGGGTCAGGATTCCCTCACGAAAGCCACATAGCTGAGAAATGTGTGTTAGGCGATTTCATTCCCACGTGAACATTATAGATTATGTAGACTTTCACAGATTGGGGTAGCCAAATGCATACCTAGATTGTTGGTTATTCCTCTCTATGTACACATATATGCAGAGAGTTATATTTTGTCTAGATAAATGTATATGATTATATATCACATATCTAAACAGTCATATTTTTGATGTAGCTTGTCACTCCTAAGGCCTCACTAAATAAAAATAAAGAAGAAAGAAAATAATATAATGAAGAGATGCAGTATGCGTGAGATCTATGAGCTGTTGGTGTGGAGATAATGCCAATTGTTTACAGGGTTGCATGTAGCTGGAAGTGTACTCTAGCACATGACGTGCAGGGTAGCACAGTAGGTACATGAAACATCCACAGTGATCCATTGTTCCAATCGCATCACCAAGCGTGATGGAGTGTTGTGCTTTGCAGGAGATTCATCCACACCTGCAGCATCACAGACACATGGACAATGTGTTAGGATCCATGTTAACACAGTTCCAGTGACCCTGGGACACAGGGATTCTTCTGCTGCATTGTAATCTCATGGCCCAGCATTGTCAATGTCAGCCATCATGACCATGGTCATCAATCAATGGCCAAAGCACCATTAGGCCTCATGGCAGTACTTCAAAACTTACTGTTTGAATATGTAATATAATCATGTGATGTGAAAAAAATTTAACTATCAGTCTTCAGCTCTTCCAGAATTCATTTTACTGTAAAACAAGTAAAACAAATGTAGATTCTTACCATTTTTTTTTAAAGCAGAATATAGTTAATTGCAAATAGTTGTCTGGATTTCACCTGTTTCATATATTTTGTACATTTGATGTCCTTTTTGACATCTGTATAGTATTCTACAGAATAGATGTATCACTTTTTCTATAGGCAACCTTTTGTTAATAGACTTTGGATTATTCTTAATATTTACTGTAAGAAATAATCCTAGTTATCTATTCACATGTTCACGAATCTGTCCATACAGTAAATGCCAAAGTGTTGTGACAAGAGGCATATGCTTCTCAAAATCAGACAGATGTTAACCAATTGCCTCCAAGAGTGTGTATTCTGTTGCCTTACAACTTCAACAGTTGTTTGGCCTTGCCCATGTTCCCATAGGCCAGCCAATAGCATTTGAGGTTCTAATTGTCTGTGTGCAAGGTCATCTCAGTGTAGGACCTTGATCATAGCAAAGCAAGCATGTGCCACTTCACTAGCCCAGCACCTAGCATCTGATCAGTGTGAGTGGGCATGTTCTCTCATGATGAGTTGGATAGCAGTGGAAGAGATTATATGCCCTGCTGGAGTCCTCTCTCCATATCCTTTGACCATCATCATTTCCAAGGGACTCTTTGACCCTTTCTTATGAATTTCACAGCACCTGTCCTGTAGATGTTGTGTCCGGTTAACATGCAAGATGCCCTGTCAAATCCCAAAAGACATAGAAACTGAAATGGAAACATTTGATGTTCATACAAAAGAAAAAAAAACCTGCCTTCTTAAATGAATTTCTAAATATAAAATTAGTATAAATAAAGGAAAGGCCTATGAAAGAAAGCTTCAAACTCTGGATGTGATAACTATTTAAATAAATCAAATACCATCATATCATTGATCCTTTTCAAATCATATTCCTTTGACCTAATACTTTGATTCTTAAAACAAAAAAAGACATATTCTCTTATATGTACAAAAACTCATACTGAATAATGAGTTGGAGGTTATGGAAGACTTATCTTTGCAACTATGTCCCTTGCCTTTGTCCACCAGTTGAACAAACACACACAAGGGTTATCAATATTCTTTTAATATTCTCAGTTCCCAGTAAATTGGTGTTACAATCCAGGGCAAGAGCAATTAAAATACAGACAGAACTTTGGGGGGAGAGCATGAAAAAATATGCTAAGTTTTATGTAGAAAAATAAAGCCACAAGACATTTAACTGGGGACTTGCCTACAGTTTTAGAGGCATAGTCCTGAAACTGTATCATCATGGTAGGTAACATGGTGGCAGGGAACATGGCAGCAGGTAGGCGTGGTATTGAAAAAGTAGCTGAGAGAGAGAGAGAGAGAGAGAGAGAGAGAGAGAGAGAGAGAGAGAGAGAGAGAGAGAGAGAGAGCTTTGTCTAGCATGGTTTTTCGAAACCTCAGAGCCCACTGGCAGTGACACACCCCTCCAACAAGGCCAGATGAATCAAGCATCAAGCGCACAAATGGAGTCTGTACTGAAGGGCTTTGAGCTCCCAGGCTGTTTGTGCTTTTGTCTCATCCACTTTTCCTGTCTCGTCTGCGTTATCACTGAATGTGAATGTCAAGGCGCTTCCCCTGTGTCGTCTCTTCTAGCAGTTCCAAAACTTCCAGACGTTTAAGTCTTTAATCTGCTTCAAATTGAGTTTAGGATATTATGTAACATAAGGGTCCAATTTCACTCTTTTTTTGTAATTATTTATTCAGTTTCCCCAATACATTTAGTTAAAGGGGCCGTTGCTCTGGCTTTGAGAATTCTAGGTGGATTGTATGTGTGTGTGTGTGTTTTACTCTGGGCTCTCTCTATTCTGTTTCACCTGTCTGCGTCTATATGAATGACAGAAACATACTGTTTTGATTACTGCAGCTTTTTGGTGTAGTTTTATAAGACTATTTTTATCTATTTGGGGTTTGTGGTCCAAATTCTAGGAAGTTTTCTTGTTGTTTGTTTTGTTTTGTGATTTTTTTTTAATTCCTGTATGAAATATTACTTGGTTTTGATAGAAACTGCATTGAATCTGAAGGTCACTTTGAATAGTCTAGAAATGTTTATAGTATTAATTCTTCCAGTCCAAGAATATGACATACCATTCTGTTTATTTGTGTCATCTTTGATTTCTTTCATGAACATGTCTTTTAATTTCTTTTTAATTTCCTCTGAGACTGAAACTTTCCATCCTGCAGGGACGGCCTTAAGCATAAAGGTACAAAACTCAAAACACCTTCAGGAAGTCCCTGAAACTGACCAGATTCTTTAAACCCTCCCTGTCAGAATAAACAATAAAAGGCTGGGAATCTCCCTCAAACAGAAGCAAGCTGAGCCTCCAAGACCCTGAGACCAGACCAGCTGCCTGGAAGGAGCAGAAACCAGCCTAGCTGCCTAGATGAGGTTTAGACCACCTGGAGCCCCTGGGAAGCCACTCTGCAACCTTTGAGCTACCTGCATGTTATGTAGTGCGCTCCAAACTTAGCTTTTGTAAGCTGTCACCCAGCTGGGGCAGGCTTGGGTGATGCAGCTGTTTTTGAGTCATTTCTTCTCCTGTAAGTAACCCCTCACCCATATTCCTGTAAGTAACCCTAAAATAACTCTTTGGTTCACCAAGTTGGACTTTGGTGCTATCCATACTTTAGCCAGTCATGGGTTCCCTATCTGGGCTGAGTAGATTTGTGTCCAGGAAACGTTTAGTCATACAACACCTTGGTTAAATGTACTCATAAGTATTTTTGTAGGTTTTGTAAATGAGAGTGTTTCTTGAATTCATTCTCTAATAGTTCATGTTATTGTGTGGAAATGAAGCGGGTGTGAGTTGTATGTTGATTTTGTGTCCTTTGACTATGATGGATCTTTTGTTAGCTCCAATGATTTGTTATCTACAAAATTATTTAAATCCTTCTTGATCTGGGTACCTCTTATTTCTTATTTCTTATTCTCTCCCAACTGATCTGGCTTAGGACTGCCAATACTACTGTAAAAAGAAGTTGTGAGTGAGACTCTGTGTCTCGTTCCTGGTGATAGAGCATTGGGTCTAATGAAAACCATGGCTTTGCCCTCTGTGGCCTTTATTTCATTGAGGTCCTGGCTCACTGATGGTTTTTTTGGTTTTGATTTTGGTTTTGGTTTTTTGAGACATTGTTTCTCTGTGTAGCTTTTGGAGCCTACCCTGGCACTTGCTCTGTAGACCAGGCTGGCCTCGAACTCACAGAGATCTGATCTGCCTGCCTCTGCCTCCCGAGTGCTGGGATTAAAGGCATGCACTACCAATGCCTGGCTCACTGATAGTTCTTATCCTGAAAATATATTGTATATTGTCTGATGTTGTTGATGTGTCCACTGAGATGACCTATTAATGTGTCCCACTGTCACTGTTTAACATATGTTGAATCATTCTTGCACCCAAGGATAAATCTCGCTGTCAGTTGTTCATGGTGTATGATCTTTTTTTTTTTTAATGTGCTGTTGAATTCAGTTTCCAGATATTTGGCTAAGAATGTTTGCACCTATATTCATCATGTTTATTGACCTGTAATTTCCCCCCTTTTATTAATTTATCCATTGAAAATTCCATATATGTACATAATATTCCGGTTACCCATTACTCTATCTTCTTCCTACCCCATCAAACCCTGCCCCCACCAAGTTCCAGTCCCACAGTTATGCCTTGTCTATGTGTTGCTATGTGGCCCACTGGGTTTAATCAGGTCCATCCCCAGAGTTGTGAAGCTAGTCAGTGAAATTTGAGTGACCACCAGTGACAATATCACTAAAGGCAATGACTTCCTCTTTTTTAACAGCCTTCTTCTGGCCTTGTGCTCCCCTGAGGAAGGTGACCCATGAGTTTCTCCCCCATCTATGACCAAACATTTAAGGCCTTGGTCTTCTGCAGAGCCTATGGAAGTGATTACAGCTGCTTGAGTTCAGAGTGCCACAGCCATGGCATGCCTGTAAGGGGACATTCACAGTGCTTTTCCCATCACCCAGTTTTTACATTTTTCTACCCCCTTCCCCATGTCCCCTGAGCCTTGAAAGGGGCAATCTGAGTGTCTCATTTAAGCTTGAATGCTCTACAATTACTTGTTCTCAGAGGTCTGACCACCATGTGTTTTGGCATTAACCACCATTCACTGCAAAGAGATTTCCTTGATGGAGGCTGAGGACAGCATTAGTTCCCAGGCCTCTGAACAGTACGCTCCTGTAATTTATTTATTTGTTTATTTATTTATTTATTTATTTATATATTGTCTTTTGGGTCTTGGTAGGCCAGTCTCATAAAATGAGTTTGAAAATCTTCCATCCTCCTCAGTGTTTGGGACAGTTTTGGAAATACTGTTACCAGTTCTTTCATATTAATAAAATTCACCTTTGCAGATATCTAGTCCCCTTTTGGGGATTTTTAAATTATTGTTGCAATGTCTATCTGCTTGTTCATAGTTTTGCTTTTGTCTTTTTGTACTTTTAAAATTTGAATTAGAAACAATCTTGTTTTACATATCAATCCCAGTTCCCTTTCCCTCCCATCCTTCCATACCCCTCACCAACCCCCATCCCATCCCCCTTCTGCTCCCCAGGGAGAGTGAGGCCTTCCACTGGGGACCATCAACATCTGTCACATCATTTGGGACAGGGCCTAGGCCCTCCCCCATGTATCTAGGCTGAGGGAGTATTCATCTATTGGAATGGGTCCCCAAAGTCCATTTGTACACTAGGGACAAATACTGATCCATTACTAGAGGCCCCATAGACTGCCCAGTCCTCCTAACTAACACCACATTCAAGGGGCCTGTTTCAGTCCTAAGCTGGTTCCCCAGCTGTCAGTCTGGATTCCTGAGCTCCCCTTTGTTCAGGTCAGCTATCTCTGTGGGTTTCCCCAGTATTGTTTTCCCCCCTCTCCTCACCCTCCCCCTGTCTGCAACGGATTCAGGGTTCAGCTCAGGTTTAGCGTGGGTGTCTGCTTCTGTGGGTTTCCATCAGCTACTAGATGGGTCTGGCTGCATATAAGGTAGTCATCAATCTCACTATAGGGAAGGGCATTTAAGGTGCCCCTCCCTTTGCTTAGATTGTAGTGGGGTCACCCTTGAGATCTCCGGACATTTTCCCAGTGCCAGATTTCTCTCTAACCTATAATGGCTCCCTCTATTATGTTTTTTTTCTTTCCTTCTCCCCCCCCCTCCCTCTCCTCTCTCTCCTCTTTTCCCCTCCTCTCCTCCTTTTTTTTTTTTTTTCCCCCCTTTTCCCCCCCCATCTCAATCTCCCTCCCCCCCCATGCCCCCCCCCCCCTCCTAAACTCCACATCTCTTTCTCCTAACTTCCCCTCCCCTCCCCCATGCTCCCAATTTGCTCTGGAGTTCTTGTCCCTTTCCCCTTCTCCAGGAGACCCTGTATGCCTCTCTTAGGGTCCTCCTTGTTTCCTAGCTCTCTGGAGGTGTGGATTGTAGGCTGGTGATCCTTTGCTCTATGTCTAAAATCCATATATGAGTGAGTACATACCATGTTTGTCTTTTTGTGACTGGGTTACCTCACTCAGGATGGTTTCTTCTAGTTCCATCCATTTGCCTGCGAATTTCAAGATTCCAGTGGTTTTTTGTTTGTTTTTCTGCTGAGTAGTATTCCATTGTGTAAATGTAGCACATTTTCTTTATCCATTCTTCAGTTGAGGGGCATCGAGGTTGCTTCCAAGTTCTGGCTATTACAAATAACACTGCTATGAACATAGCTGAACAGATGTCCTTGTTGTATGTATGTGCTTTCTTTGGGCAATTCATTGTTTTTTATTTTTTATTTAGAAACTGTCATTTTACATACCAGTCCTCTCATTCCCTCTCCCTCCTTCCCTCCCATGCCCCCTACCAACTCCCCCACAAACCCCCCACCCACTCCCCAAGGACAGTGAAGCCTTCCATGGGAGATTATCAAAATCTGTCACATCATTTGGGGGAGGGCCTAGGCCTTCCTCCATGTATCTGGGCAGAGAGAGTATCCCTCCATAGGGAATGGGCTCCCGAAGTCCATTTGTGCCTAGGCATAAATACTGGTTCCACTGTTAGAGGTCC